TATATATAGTTGCTACTTCGCTGATTTCCACTTATGGCAGGGCTGTCTGGAATGTCACCTCCATGATAAGTGAGGGACCATTATATAACCCTACAAGAGGTTATAAGAGACCTGAGAGCTCTGAAGAGACCTGACCCAAGATTTACAGTAACAAAGGATAGAATATGAAAGGCAAACTTTGTTCTGCTTTGTGTTACCTTACAGCATCTTTGGGCCCAAGTGAAGAGTCATGGTTCATAGTTAAAATGGCCTTGTCTATCCCAGGAGAAACACGGATCATTCTTCTAACGACAACAGGCAAAGGCCCAGTACGCTGCCTGTTTTCCCATCTCTGTAACAATTCCTACTGTATAACTGTTATTGGGAAACAGGATCCTAACATATAAGATCTCGTGTTTATATGATTAACGAGGTCTTCTAAGAAATATCCTTTCCCTCCTGAGAGGTCATTGCTCTTGTACAAATCAAATGCGTTGTGTTTACCTAGTCCAGAGAGAACTGGGTGCCTATTTATTCCTTAGATGGATGTCCCTGCCTAGTTTTGAGACTTTGAGGTCTTGCTAACGCCCCACCAGTGGTCTGAACTTTATCCAGCTCCTGGGCTTTACCATCAACACGCTTAGAGATGTTACATTCTTTGAGCTAAAGTAGTCATATTTTCTTTGCTTTGCTATTAGCCCCAGTCTCCGGCTAATGACTAACTTTCAATCTAACATTATAATTGTGTCAGTTCCAAAGGTGATTTTACTTTTGTTTTTCGATCTTTGAAGAAGGATCTTACTTTGTAGTGCAAGCTGGCCTTGAACTTACCGTGTAGCCCAGGCTGGCCTAGAACTCACTGCAACCCTCCTCCCTCAGCGTTTTGTCTGCACCTCCATGTCCGGCTTCAAAGATATTTTGACAAACTGATGTTTATAAACATGTTTTGGGGGCAGGGCATGGTGACTCAGGCCTATAATCCCAGCACACAGAAGGCTGAGGCAAGAGGATTGCTCTAAGTTAAATTTGGGTTATTAACTTTTGGGAGACTGTCATAGATAACATCTACATGTTTGTCCAACACATATGTTCTGTAATCCCAATGAAATAAATAGGATTCACTCAAGTTTTATGTGCTTGCTTATTTGGGGGTTTTCTGATCTCCTTCAAGCCCTCAGTCTTAAGAATAACAAAAAAGAAATAGTTTACTTCTGCATGGGTCACCAGTTAAAATCCATAAAGTTATTGTTCAATAACCATTAGTGTTCAGTGCATAGCCTTTAAAATATTTTCTTGCATAAAAGTAAACTATTATATGCCCTGTATTGGTTATTTTGCCTTATTTCCGGGGAAGGCTCAAACTGGCGTTCAACCTTGGGCCCAAAGAAAGATGGACAGGGATTAGAACAGCACATTTTCTGTTCCCAGATGAGTCGTGTATTCCTAGACTTAATTAATGCAAACTACATTTGCATTCCAGGAAGAAGGTGCAGGACCACTGACAATGTTTCAGCGATATTTACCTGCCATCAGTTTTTGTCCATGGGGCAACCTTCATGCTAGATTGTTCCATTGCATCTTGCTGGTTGGATCGCCAGCTGGAAGCCTGGAATTCTGCCGGTGATGGGACAATGTGACCAAAGGCAGGCTACATCCTCATGGTTCAAAGTAGGACTCGACACATATTAGGAGTATTTTAATGTTTAAATGATGAATGAATGAATGAATGAATGAATGAATGAATGAATGAATACATTTCAAGTGAAAAAGAGCAAAGGTGAAGAATGATAAAACTTTATGCCCCCATCCTTATGCAATCTCTTCTTCACTAATACTCTACCTTGCAAATTCTAGCCATGTTCACCTAATTCTGATCTCTGCCTCTTCAAATCATTCAATTTGGTGAAGATCCATTGCATTTTTCCTTCCTGCTTGGGTCCCAGAAATCCACCACATACCCTAATCAGAGGCCACCACTGGTTTCACCTTTATGGTTTCCATCCTCTCAAGTTTCAGTCCTATGCTACTTGCTGTCCACGCTCCACACAAGTGTTACATATACTTTCCTTGATATTCTACTTGTTAATTACAGGAGAGAAATTCTTGTACCAGTTAAGATTTCATGGGAAGAAATATGAGGCAATAATTTTATTCTACATAACTTCTCCAAGAATGATAAAGAATACCTCTAGGGCAAATTTTTGTTTTACTTTTTATATTATTTTATTTCATTTCATTTTGTGATATGGGAGATTGAACCCAGAGACTTCACACTGAGATATATCCCAGCCCTTTTTTTTTTTTTTTTTATCTTGAGACAGGTTGTCACTAACTCACTAAATTGCCCAGAGTGGGCTTGAACTTTCAATCCTCCTGCCCTAGCTTTCCAGAGAGCTGGGATTACAACCATATACCGCCACCCTTGGTTTCCAAGATTAATTTAAGTGACATTGTGCCTGTGTTAAAAACCACATACACACACAACACATACACACAAGTTTTTAACCTTTAGAGTTTTGGTTGAAATACTTCTGGGCCAAGTGACGTGATTGCTGAAATTTACTTCAAAAATATAAGCAAGGGGCCAGGGAGATGGCTCAGTAAAATAAGTGCTTGCCTGGCAAGCTTAAGGGCCTGAGTTCAATCCCCAGTTCTGAAGAAAGAAAGGAAAGAAAGAAAGAAAGAAAGAAAGAAAGAAAGAAAGAAAGAAAGAAAGAAAGAAA